CTTTATATTATATATATTTATAGAGCTGGAACTGAAATAGTTTCTAGAGGAGCTAAAGACAGAGTGGCACATTACTTGCAGTCTCTCAAACAACATTTTGCGGGTAAAAATATTTAAACATATTAATATTATTGTAATGCTGGTCTCCTACTTATATTCTTAAGTAAAATGTTTTTTTTATCATTATTTGTTTGTGCGTATATATATATTATATATATATTTATATCATAATTTTATTGAACCTTTTCATTATTATGTTTTTAACCTTTAGATTGCCTAACAGACATAAGACAAAGTTTGGCATCTCCAAGGCTAGTCGGTAAACAGGATCATAAAGCCAGATTGTCAGACCTTTTAGGCAACATACAGACATCAGTTGTGGAACAAATCAAGTCTGTATTAATTAATTTACAGGTATCAATTTAAACAGTTCTGAGTTTAAGACAAAGAAAAATATCAATAACTTATTCAATATTTTAGAATAATAAAAAATGTGGTAAAATAGAATGTTGTCTCCTATTAGGCTTTTTATACTGTCTTTAAGTGAAAACCTACTCATTGACAAGCTGTTACCTACATGGTAACATGTTTGAAGTAGTAAATTGTTATAAAATTTGAAAACATTTAAAAATCTCCCTGCAGGCATTTATTGCATCTGATATTACATTTGCAATGAAACCATATTTCCGTGGTCCATTTTGTAGTCAAGATGTTCGGGAAGGTTTAATTGTGGCATTTATCAAGCATGTCTGCTCAGTTTGCAATGTAAGTGTTCAGCTATTTTTATACAACATAAAATTATATATTAAAAAGGCTTATGAGAAACATGGAAAATGGAATTCAAATAAATATTTGATAATATTATAAAGAGATTTTAACTATTTAAAAAAAAAAAATTATGAATTAATTACTTATTAACTTTTGTTGTTGTTTTTTTTTCATTGTGTAAAAATACTATTTTGTTTTTTACATTTTTATTTTAGGACTTCTGTGAAGTGTCTGGAGACAAAACAATGACACCACCAACACTTCTTTTGATTCTATCAAAATTTTGTATTGACTTGGAAAATGCAACAATTTCTTATCTGGTAAATAGATCAAGGAAGTTTTTTTTTATTCAATGTTACAAATAGTAGATTCAAAAATATTTCATATGTTATAAAAATATATCCATCCATCTATCCAAACGGCACGTTATAAATAAATAAACAAATAATTATAAATATATATATAATATACACACATTAAAAAAAATAATTATCCAACAATTTTCTATTATCAGCTTTCTCTTGCTGAAGAGCAGTTTATGGTGGAAGATAAAACTTCTGTCACTACAATGACGGAATTGTTTGCTTTAGCCAAAGAAACTGGACAAAGACTGTTAAACCATTATGTTCGTTTCCAAGGACTAACAATATCACAGGTACATCATCTCTATATAGTGCTTGTGGATTGGCAGATACTACCAGTACATCATTACAATTTATTTATATTGATCTTCACACTTTCTACTTTTGTAAGAGATATTAATGTAGTCAACCTTGAGCTTCAGTTCTTAGTTGACAAATGTATAATCTTTGTGTATGACTGATATTAGTGCTGTTTGGTTTTAAGTTTTGTCTTGTTAAGTTCTATGCCTTGATACATATATTGAATCAATGTACATTTTGTAGATGTTGCGTAAAAGTGTTGAGACAAGAGACTGGCTAAATACCATAGAGCCACGTAATGTAAGGGCGGTAATGAAACGTGTTGTTGAAGATATTACTGTTATAGACATGCAGGTACGTTGGAAATGGGCAATTAGCATTAGAGCTACAGAAAAAAAGTCTGTGTTAGACACCTTCTTATATAAATATATCTCAAATGTCATTGTTTAGGTTGGCCAGTTGTATGAAGAGGGTATCAGAAAAGAACGTAGCAGTGATTCAAGCAGGAGAACTCATGCACTTAGTTCAGCTGCTCAACAAAGTCGGAGACAGCAGTGGAATTATGCTCCTAGGTAGTAGCCTTACAACTTGTAAAAATACATTAATATTTTTCGTTTTTATGAAATATCAACATATTTTGACTTTTTTTTTTTCACAGTGTTGATAACAGTTTAATGAGCAATATTCAGAAACTTTTCTCAGAGAAGATTGAAATATTCAGTGCTGTAGAATTTTCTAAAGTGTCAGTACTAACTGGAATAGTCAAAATAAGTCTCAAGGTTTGTATCAACAACAGATTCAAATATGTGCAAATTAAAATAAAATTTAAAAAGATAACTTGAGTGATAAGTTTTGAAAAGCTTTTATTTTTCAAAATGAGAAATTCCTATTGTCTCTTTGGACAGACCTTTCTAGAATGTGTACGTCTGAGAACATTTGGCAAGTATGGAATTCAACAGATACAGGTAGACACACACTACCTTCAACTTTATCTTTGGAGATTTGTCTCAGATGAAAAGTAAGTCTTTCTTATCGGATGCATTTCATAGTAGTGTGTATGTAAAACTGTCTAAAACTATGCTGCAGGTCAACATCAACAGTTTGATGCTAAGTACAAAAACACACCCTATTTTAAAACCAATGCTAAACATTACATGCAATATTGCTACACATTTATTTACTACAGTTTAACAAACAGGTAAATTGTTACTGTGTCATCAATTTGTTTTGCCAACGGTAATGTGTACTTTTGAGATAATGTTTTGGTTTCTATTTGAATTTAAATTTTCTTACAAATCAAACTATATGTCTGTGTATAGGTGGTGATAATGGGAGTCAGCATGTAAAAGAAAAGCCAAACTGTACTGGTCCTATGTTCTTGCAGATAAATCTAGTTTTGTTCTTATGTTTCTGAAAGACTGTGTCACATTTTGTCCACTCTTTTAATAAAGGGAATTTTGTGAGTCCCTCTGGAACATGGTTTATTTTCATTAAAGACATTATGGCTTTGATATCCACAACTCAATATCTGCAGCCTTGAAGCAGTAATCTTTACATTAGGTCACATTAAAATGAAATGTATCCAAGCTAAAGCCATTTTAATGTATGTTTTGGTGCACAAATGTTGATGATAAAATGGATTTCACATAAAATTGTAAAATAAAGTTTTTAGGAAATCTTTTACCAAATGTTTTGAATTTTTTTCCCCTTTTTAGCTTACACTGTATATTAATTACAGATTAAGTTTAAACCACTTGCTAACCTAACTTTATGTATTATTATGGGTCCTGAAAAAATGTCCACAGTCTCATGTTGTGGATTTATGTTGTTCTAGGTGTAACCAAAATTGTTTGTTTGCTTCCAGTTAATACCATCAGGCACTTCTTGGAGTACTTCTCTTGTCTTGAGGCTCCATTTGCCTAGTGATTTTAATTAATGAATTGGGCAAGATGTCAGTTTCTGTCTACAAGTTTTTTCTTTTTTTCTTGCACTAGAATCTGGCTGGGTTAGAAAACCATTATTTTGTGCTTTTCTTTTCTTGTATTGAGAGACCATTTTTTTTTAAATAGATATTTATGGATTATTTCATATCATACTTACAGTACATTTTTTTAGAAATGGTTTTATTGACTGCTAAGAATCAATTTAAAGTGGTATTTTCAAATCCTCCTTGTTTTCATCTCTTAGCTTGGTCCAAGTGTTACTGGATGAGATAGTCTGTAGTGCTGTGCATAGGTGTGTGGACCCAACTATGATGGAACCAAGTGTAAGCAGACATTGCTTTGTTCTCTAGTTCACAATATTTCTGAATGTTAGAATTTGTATTTCAAAAGTAGACTAGTTTTGTTACTGCTTATGAAACTTAACAATTGTCTAGTCTATCCAATATTATTTCCTTGATTTAGTTTTGATTAACTCTAAAATATTGTTAAAAAAAATTATCTATACAAATGTTTTGCAATTTTTAAATAGCTCAGTTTTTATGTGTGGTGATAATGAATTTGTAACAATTTGTTTTTCTCCAGGTGATTGACCTCATTTGTGAACGTGGATAAGCATAAGCTTATAGTTTCCGATGTCTGTATTGTTGTGTTCATGAGCTTGATTATTTTAAATTAATATCAAATGGATTTTAAATTAACTCTTTTAATGTATAAAGTGCAATTGTATTGTGATATTCTTTTGATGACATTGATTATATCTGTATATTGGCTGCTATTTATTTACAATTCCAATGTGTAAGTCTAACTGGATTTTTGTTTTAATAAGATTTATTAAATATGATGGGACAATGTTTTTATTTTATTCTTTTGTACTGCATTTCACTACTCGTGTAATTGTCTTAGACAGAATTTGTGAGTGTTAGACCTATAATTTTATAACTGTAAAAGCACCTTGAAAGATACAAAACATGTTAAATAAATAAATTAGCAGGTTAAGTGTCCCTACAAACCTAATTAATTATAACAACAAAATTAAGCGCATTCCTTTATTTTAGAAAGTGGAGAATTGGTAAATGTATGTTTGTTTTTGTTTTGTTACTATACAATATGCTTTTAAATATTACAAACGAAGTCTTAATTATCCTTAACTTACAATGCCAAAAGGTAACCATTTGCCTACTCACTTTCCAAATGTAATAATAGCATTAAGCCATGAACAGCACAATTTTCTATTTCTATTAGCTAGTTTTATAATACAAGGCCAGGTTTTAGAGATATAGAAAATAAGTAAAGTTTCCCTTTCAGACCTTGTGGTCTATAGGGCAGATGATGTAAAGGTCATCTGTTGCTGTGGCCTATGGATAACGAGGGTGTCATGTGACCAGCACAACAACCAACCGCCTTTACTTTTCCCAACTAATGTCAGGTACCCTTTATAGCTGGGTGGACTCAGAGGCGCTCAAAGATCCCAAAATAAAAAAATCCTAGTCTTCACCAGTTTTCAATCCCAAGACCTCAGTTCAGTAATATAGAAAACTAACAATTTTTTTTTTATATAACAATTATAATGAATAATGCTACTTTTCATGACATAATTATGATGATATTATTATTAAAACAAACAAAAATTAGAGTAAACATTTGAAATAATTTATTACATTTCCATCAAAAATTTATAGCACTGCCATCAAGCAAGCACAGGAAAACAATCATTTAAAAATGCATATTCCTCCATTTTAAAAACTCAATAACTACAAACATATTAGCTCTAAATCAAAATTTTTTTTAAAGTTTCAGGACAATGCTAGATCTAATTATCTTTGGTAAATTAGATTTACAGTAAAAATCTAACCAAAGTTTAATGTATCACGGAATGCATATAAACATGAGACTAATTCCAAAAAACTTGTAGTTAACTGAAGTTACAGTAAAATATTGTCTGCAGAGACTAATTCCAAACAAACTTGTAGTTAACTGAAGTTACAGTAAAATTTTGGCTGCAGAAACTAATTCCAAACAAACTTATAGTTAACTGAAGTTACAGTAAAATATTGGCTGCAGAGACTAATTCCAAAAAACTTGTAGTTAACTGAAGTTACAGTAAAATATTGTCTGCAGAGACTAATTCCAAACAAACTTGTAGTTAACTGAAGTTACAGTAAAATTTTGGCTGCAGAAACTAATTCCAAACAAACTTATAGTTAACTGAAGTTACAGTAAAATATTGGCTGCAGAGACTAATTCCAAACAAACTTGTAGTTAACTGAAGTTACAATAAAATATTGGCTGCAGAGACTAATTCCAAACAAACTTGTAATTAACTGAAGTTACAATAAAATATTGTCTGCAGAGACTAATTCCAAACAAACTTTTTAGTTAACGGAAGTTACAGTAAAATATTGGCTGCAGAGACTAATTCCAAACAAACTTGTAATTAACTGAAGTTACAGTAAAATATTGGCTGCAGAGACTAATTCCAAACAAACTTGTAGTTAACTGAAGTTACAGTAAAATATTGGCTGCAGAGACTAATTCCAAACAAACTTGTAATTAACTGAGGTTACAGTAAAATATTGGCTGCAGAAACTAATTCCAAACAAACTTGTAGTTAACTGAAGTTACAATAAAATATTGGCTGCAGAGACTAATTCCAAACAAACTTGTAATTAACTGAAGTTACAATAAAATATTGGCTGCAGAGACTAATTCCAAACTAACTTGTAATTAACTGAAGTTACAATAAAATATTGGCTGCAGAGACTAATTCCAAACAAACTTGTAATTAACTGAAGTTACAGTAAAATTTTGGCTGCAGAAACTAATTCCAAACAAACTTATAGTTAACTGAAGTTACAGTAAAATATTGGCTGCAGAGACTAATTCCAAACAAACTTGTAGTTAACTGAAGTTACAATAAAATATTGTCTGCAGAGACTAATTCCAAACAAACTTGTAGTTAACTGAAGTTACAGTAAAATATTGGCTGCAGAGACTAATTCCAAACAAACTTGTAGTTAACTGAAGTTACAGTAAAATTTTGGCTGCAGAAACTAATTCCAAACAAACTTATAGTTAACTGAAGTTACAGTAAAATATTGGCTGCAGAGACTAATTCCAAACAAACTTGTAGTTAACTGAAGTTACAATAAAATATTGGCTGCAGAGACTAATTCCAAACAAACTTGTAGTTAACTGAAGTTACAATAAAATATTGGCTGCAGAGACTAATTATAAAAAAAATTATAGTTAATTGAAGTTACAATAAAATATTGGCTGCAGAGACTAATTCCAAACAAACTTGTAATTAACTGAAGTTACAATAAAATATTGGCTGCAGAGACTAATTATAAAAAAAATTATAGTTAACTGAAGTTACAGTAAAATATTGGCTGCAGAGACTAATTCCAAACAAACTTGTAGTTAACTGAAGTTACAGTAAAATTTTGGCTGCAGAAACTAATTCCAAACAAACTTATAGTTAACTGAAGTTACAGTAAAATATTGGCTGCAGAGACTAATTCCAAAAAACTTGTAGTTAACTGAAGTTACAGTAAAATATTGTCTGCAGAGACTAATTCCAAACAAACTTGTAGTTAACTGAAGTTACAGTAAAATTTTGGCTGCAGAAACTAATTCCAAACAAACTTATAGTTAACTGAAGTTACAGTAAAATATTGGCTGCAGAGACTAATTCCAAACAAACTTGTAGTTAACTGAAGTTACAATAAAATATTGGCTGCAGAGACTAATTCCAAACAAACTTGTAATTAACTGAAGTTACAATAAAATATTGTCTGCAGAGACTAATTCCAAACAAACTTTTTAGTTAACGGAAGTTACAGTAAAATATTGGCTGCAGAGACTAATTCCAAACAAACTTGTAATTAACTGAAGTTACAGTAAAATATTGGCTGCAGAGACTAATTCCAAACAAACTTGTAGTTAACTGAAGTTACAGTAAAATATTGGCTGCAGAGACTAATTCCAAACAAACTTGTAATTAACTGAGGTTACAGTAAAATATTGGCTGCAGAAACTAATTCCAAACAAACTTGTAGTTAACTGAAGTTACAATAAAATATTGGCTGCAGAGACTAATTCCAAACAAACTTGTAGTTAACTGAAGTTACAATAAAATATTGGCTGCAGAGACTAATTATAAAAAAAATTATAGTTAACTGAAGTTACAATAAAATATTGGCTGCAGAGACTAATTCCAAACAAACTTGTAATTAACTGAAGTTACAATAAAATATTGGCTGCAGAGACTAATTCCAAACTAACTTGTAATTAACTGAAGTTACAATAAAATATTGGCTGCAGAGACTAATTCCAAACAAACTTGTAATTAACTGAAGTTACAATAAAATTTTGGCTGCAGAAACTAATTCCAAACAAACTTATAGTTAACTGAAGTTACAGTAAAATATTGGCTGCAGAGACTAATTCCAAACAAACTTGTAGTTAACTGAAGTTACAATAAAATATTGTCTGCAGAGACTAATTCCAAACAAACTTGTAGTTAACTGAAGTTACAGTAAAATATTGGCTGCAGAGACTAATTCCAAACAAACTTGTAGTTAACTGAAGTTACAGTAAAATTTTGGCTGCAGAAACTAATTCCAAACAAACTTATAGTTAACTGAAGTTACAGTAAAATATTGGCTGCAGAGACTAATTCCAAACAAACTTGTAGTTAACTGAAGTTACAATAAAATATTGGCTGCAGAGACTAATTCCAAACAAACTTGTAGTTAACTGAAGTTACAATAAAATATTGGCTGCAAAGACTAATTATAAAAAAAATTATAGTTAATTGAAGTTACAATAAAATATTGGCTGCAGAGACTAATTCCAAACAAACTTGTAATTAACTGAAGTTACAATAAAATATTGGCTGCAGAGACTAATTATAAAAAAAATTATAGTTAACTGAAGTTACAATAAAATATTGGCTGCAGAGACTAATTCCAAACAAACTTGTAATTAACTGAAGTTACAATAAAATATTGGCTGCAGAGACTAATTCCAAACAAACTTGTAGTTAACTGAAGTTACAATAAAATATTGGCTGCAGAGACTAATTCCAAACAAACTTTTTAGTTAACTGAAGTTACAATAAAATATTGGCTGCAGAGACTAATTCCAAACAAACTTGTAATTAACTGAAGTTACAATAAAATATTGGCTGCAGAGACTAATTATAAAAAAAATTATAGTTAACTGAAGTTACAATAAAATATTGGCTGCAGAGACTAATTCCAAACAAACTTGTAATTAACTGAAGTTACAATAAAATATTGGCTGCAGAGACTAATTCCAAACAAACTTGTATTTAACTGAAGTTACAGTAAAATATTGGCTGCAGAAACTAATTCCAAACAAACTTGTAGTTAACTGAAGTTACAATAAAATATTGGCTGCAGAGACTAATTCCAAACAAACTTGTAATTAACTGAAGTTACAGTAAAATTTTGGCTGCAGAAACTAATTCCAAACAAACTTATAGTTAACTGAAGTTACAGTAAAATATTGGCTGCAGAGACTAATTCCAAACAAACTTGTAGTTAACTGAAGTTACAATAAAATATTGTCTGCAGAGACTAATTCCAAACAAACTTGTAGTTAACTGAAGTTACAGTAAAATATTGGCTGCAGAGACTAATTCCAAACAAACTTGTAGTTAACTGAAGTTACAGTAAAATTTTGGCTGCAGAAACTAATTCCAAACAAACTTATAGTTAACTGAAGTTACAGTAAAATATTGGCTGCAGAGACTAATTCCAAACAAACTTGTAGTTAACTGAAGTTACAGTAAAATATTGGCTGCAGAGACTAATTCCAAACAAACTTGTAATTAACTGAGGTTACAGTAAAATATTGGCTGCAGAAACTAATTCCAAACAAACTTGTAGTTAACTGAAGTTACAATAAAATATTGGCTGCAGAGACTAATTCCAAACAAACTTGTAGTTAACTGAAGTTACAATAAAATATTGGCTGCAGAGACTAATTATAAAAAAAATTATAGTTAATTGAAGTTACAATAAAATATTGGCTGCAGAGACTAATTCCAAACAAACTTGTAATTAACTGAAGTTACAATAAAATATTGGCTGCAGAGACTAATTATAAAAAAAATTATAGTTAACTGAAGTTACAATAAAATATTGGCTGCAGAGACTAATTCCAAACAAACTTGTAATTAACTGAAGTTACAATAAAATATTGGCTGCAGAGACTAATTCCAAACAAACTTGTATTTAACTGAAGTTACAGTAAAATATTGGCTGCAGAAACTAATTCCAAACAAACTTGTAGTTAAATGAAGTGACAATAAAATATTGGCTGCAGAGACTAATTCCAAACAAACTTGTAGTTAACTGAAGTTACAATAAAATATTGGCTGCAGAGACTAATTCCAAACAAACTTGTAATTAACTGAAGTTACAATAAAATATTGGCTGCAGAGACTAATTCCAAACAAACTTGTATTTAACTGAAGTTACAGTAAAATATTGGCTGCAGAAACTAATTCCAAACAAACTTGTAGTTAACTGAAGTTACAATAAATTATTGGCTGCAGAGACTAATTCCAAACAAACTTGTAGTTAACTGAAGTTACAGTAAAATATTGGCTGCAGAGACTAATTCCAAACAAACTTGTAATTAACTGAGGTTACAGTAAAATATTGGCTGCAGAAACTAATTCCAAACAAACTTGTACTTAACTGAAGTTACAATAAAATATTGGCTGCAGAGACTAATTCCAAACAAACTTGTAGTTAACTGAAGTTACAATAAAATATTGGCTGCAGAGACTAATTATAAAAAAAATTATAGTTAACTGAAGTTACAATAAAATATTGGCTGCAGAGACTAATTCCAAACAAACTTGTAATTAACTGAAGTTACAATAAAATATTGGCTGCAG